GGAAAGAAGGAAAAACGATTCAGGATAAGATCTCGACACGATTTAGGTCAATCCTCTACATCAAAAAAGACTTGCTGAACTATAAATTGAAATAAGTTTTTTTTTACTTTTATAGGAAGCTCTTAGTATCATAGACAAGGTCGAGTCGATGTTGACAGAGAATTGTCACACCAAACCACTATTGCCATCACAGCTGAAAAGACACAGAGAAATTCAACTACCGCATAGTAAGGAAATGTTCAAAGTGGTCTCTTTGTCAAGTCAATGATCAAGCTACTTGTAATTATCTGTGAAATTCAGTACTTATATCTCCATATTGTCGTTAATTTCCCTCTCCTTGAAAATAAACATTCGTTGTACGTCCCTGTTTCATGGATAGTCATATGAAAACGTCTGCAAAGGAGGCTAATATGAAACAGAATATTACATATATTACATGGTCGCTTGGAATGAAGGATTCCGTCTTCTTGCTACGCTCACACGTGTGATAAGATAAAAACCGTTTATCGATCTCCGCGCGCCCATGTCATGTCCTCTTGATCTAGGCGTGCCCATAATTTCGATTACATATTTGGCCATGCATTCTTTCATCCAATCAAACATTCTTTCTTTCATTCTGTCAGTGTTTTTCTTTCTTGCTGTACAGAACGTTAACTTATAAAACACTATTTGTAGACTCATCTCACGTCTATGAAGCTGTGAATGAAGTTCATAGTAACACAAGTATAGAGATCTATTATCAGGTACGCCTGTCATGTATTACCATTTTAAATGTTCACGTGCATCCATGAAACTTTGCGATCGTTTGTTTTGTTCAAAATGTCTTCTGTTGAAAATTGCTTTCTGATTTGCTCAAAATCAAAGATGGCGGATATCCGGTGAGAAAATCGCGCAAACTTATCTCGGATGCACGTGGTTTCAAAATCTGGCCGTAATTACAAGCCGACCATACTATGAGGGTGGACGTATTAAGCATGGGTGTCAATGTGTAGTATGTTTTAATTTAGGCGTATTTCTACTATTTACGTCATTCGTGTGGAAGGGAATCAACTATTTCATTATGTTTGATTTACAGTGTGATCTACAAGCAACGAAGAGTAACATGCTGTTAGAAATGTTTTGTCAGATTATTAGTGAACCATGTTTCAATGAATTAAGAACCAAAGAACAGCTTGGTTACATTGTCTTCAGTGGACCGAGACGAGGCAATGGTGCACAGGTAAACCTTTACCCATCTCATACCATGTGAGAACAGTCAGTAGGAATACTAGAGTACTCATACCGCGTTAATTCCTGATATCAACACTAAATCTGTGAAACAACATATTTCAGGGTCTTCGTTTCATCATTCAGTCCGAAAAGGAACCTTCACATCTAGATTCTCGTGTCGAGGCATTCTTACAAGGGTTTGAGGTAAACAATCCTACTTTGAACATCCCAATATCTTGCAGAATTCATATGAATAATGTAAATTGTTCGAATTCTCCCAAAGTTTAAACAGTAAAAATTGGAATATTGTGCTGTCAAAACGCTTATTACACACTGTTTACCAGTTCTTGATTCTCAGTCAAACTGAGCAAAACAACCATAGTGCACACCGCTAGCTCCCTTCCATCCGCTATTTCTTGCATGCGTTTCTCCCTCCCTTTCTCTCTTTCTGTTCATCCTTTTAGGATTAAGGTTTTCTGAGATTGTTTTATTATTTAACAGGAAAGACTCCAAGAAATGCCTGTAGAAGAGTTCAATAAACACATTGAAGCACTCGCTGTTAAAAGACTCGAAAAAYCCAAGAAATTAAAAACAGAATCATTGAAATACTGGTCTGAAATCATATCAAGACAGTACAACTTTGACCGAGGTATCTTATGTCATCATCTTTATCATCATCATTTTGTAATCATCATAACGTTTTGCAATCATCTTAACTCAAAAAAATTTAGAAAGCTCAAATGCCAAATCTGTTTTCGTTTCAGATAATATCGAAGTTGCTTTTCTGAAAACAATGACAAAGGATGATTTGTTGGAGTTTTACCAGGTTCGTTGGCTCTACATTGTTGTTTCTTGAAAATCCGTAAATCATTCTTTCTACATAGTGATAGTATGGTGTGATTTGCCAACCCACTTCATATTTAATGCATAGCGCGCACGGTTTGCATGTTACACAGCATAGAGACTCCTCCTTTATGTAATAAATAGAAAAATTAGTAAAGTCGTACGTAATCTTTACGTAGTTCTAAACAGCTGAAGGTTTCCCAAATTACGTCACTTAATTGAAACGTAAGAAAGTAAATCTTTGGTCTAAACGGTTGTCCAGAATACTCAATAATAACCGGCTAACGGCGGAATTGCCCTGCTTATTTTACCTCTTGACGCTGGTTATTTTGTGTTTTACTTAATAAATATGATTGTACATTGTTTGGGACGCAGACACCTTATTCAATCACTCAGACACTTATTCATAAAGATAATAAAACCCCTTTATCGGTTGTAATTAATGATTTTGTTTGTATATTGTAGTGTCTCCTGGCCGTAAATGCACCTAGAAGACATAAGCTTGCCGTTCATATTCTGACAAAACAAAGTATGTATGGCTTTATGGTGACTCCTTGAGGTTGATGATGTTTATTCTATCCTTATTGAAACGAAGCTTAGGGAAAAATRATATATAATTCTTTTGTTTTCACCGAGCCTCATTTTCAATATTTTTGGGCTAACATTYCAACCAGAATATCGAAAAGTGGGCTATTATGCTTAATGTAATSAACGTRGCTATGTCAGTATTCAGACAAAATTTAACATCACCAACTAAAATCCTGACCTTGCAAAATGAAATGTTGTTTCCAGTGTATCAAAATCAACCACCAATTACAGCAACTAAGGACTCAGTCGATGCCAGCCCTAATGGTACTCTAGCACAGGTAGGACATCTTTTGACTRTTTTTTCTTTCCATATTCCATCAGTGCTGCATTGCCCTGAATGGCTGTAGTGCTTGAGATGATATTAATTTTACTGGTTGCCACAGCAAAACTAAATTGGTTCAGTAGTCGTGTAGAAAATAATTTGCAGAGAATCAGCCGTAATGGTTGATGTGATTTCTGTGATTATTAGTAGAGTAATCCTACACAATAAATAATAATAAATAATAAGTACCACACTTTGATGACACTTTGAAACTTTRATTGATAGAGTTTTGAAAAATATTATTTCATTTTATGATGGTCTGTTATTATCTTTATTTTTCAGCCTGTTTTTATCACAAACGTGGCGGAGTTCAAGAGTAGTCTACCTCTTCTTCCTCTCGTTCCTCCCTACGATAGTCAGGCAACTAAATCTAAGTTATAATGATTTCTATACATACATTGATTCTGTCTGGATTTACCCTGCGCAAAGAGAAATTTCGAAAATCTTACTCCCCAGCAGCGCTCTCGGCTAAAGAAGAAAAAATGTCTAGAGATTTTGTTAAAATTTAGGTTCGAGCAAATTATGTCGAACAAAATAGGACATTTTTTCAGACACTACTTTCCAGAGTTAGGGGAAAGGATTCTTAGAACATTCTTTGTTCACGGGGTTGTTTAGCTTAGAAAATGATATTATCTACAGCAATATACAGAAATTATCATCATTTTGACTCATACTCCAAGTACATATAGAATATATCAGAAATGATGTGATATCATCGACAATATTGTTTTTTCACTAATGCTAGGCAACAAATATCAGCGATGATATTCCATAATTTCTGATATATTGTATAATACTTGAAACATGGCTCAAAATGATCCTAAGTTATGCAATTTGCTGAAAATCAATATATATAATCATATATCATATACAATATTAGCAATGTAAAACGACGTCATTTCTTGAAGCAAAGCATGACGGGAAGTATTGCACTCGTTTTGTTTTTCAAATGTCCACAAAAATGATTCCCAAAAGTAGCTTTACTGTTTCCTAAATACTCACAGCGTGAGGGCAATATTTATGCTTGTCATGTTTAAATCTAGTGAAGTGGTGTCGCTCCACATTCACTTTTCGGTAGACTTTAATTCTATAGTCATCTAAATGCTGGTTATCTGCGAGCTGAAGGCTTCGTGGTCCACAAGGTCGAGAGGTATAATTGTTTTATCATTCATGTTGTACCAAACCTAAATTAATGTTATGGTTCTCCAGAAAAATATGTTAAGATCGAGAGATAACGTCAGACATTGTCGTTGTGTTTAGGATATAGGATTAATAGACTGTTGTGTTTTTGAATACGACACTGATATTATCGGCCTCTTAAAAGTATTTTCCTTTAGTGTTCGACTCACAATAGGTAGTAAAAATGGCAATTTTTAAAGAGGTCATCATATTTGCCAAATATGGTCAAAGTAATTGACATATCTGAATATTCATGGTGTTTCGGAAAAAAATGAAAATTTACAGGAATGTGATGCTTTAACAATACTAATAAAATATTGTATTCAAAAATGAAAATATTAAAACGATTGATGATATTGCTTAAGAATCTTATCATGTTATTTTATAAAACACCCTGATATAGTTAAACTCAATCAACAAAAAAAAAGAATAGTTTCCATTTGGCTTGAGTTTTACGTAGAAAAACCATCCCCTATTTAGCGGAACGTCCCGTTTAGTAAATATAGGTGAGCACCGCCGGAATAGCAGTCTTTACCAAGTTTGAACCAGCCGCTTACGATCAATGAGAAAGCCAATCCAGCAAAGTACTGAGTAATGTCGTAAGATGCAATAGTACTGAGTAATGTCGTAAGATGCAATAGTACTGAGTAATGTCGTAAGATGCAATAGTACTTAGCAAAGTCAAAACATGATGACTAAAACAAAACTGGAATGGCTATGGAAGTAACCCAAATCCCCTCAACAACAATACAACGTCAACAAGAACACTTTTATTTCATAGCATGCATGCTTATATGATACATCGATGAGATCGAAAATAATAAATTTGACTGAGTATTGGACCTAACTAATAGCACATTAGAAAGTTCAAGAAAGCCATTCGTCTTCAATTGTGAACTTTGGTTATAAACTGAAACTATTTACTGGCAATCTATATAAGTCGTCATACTATTCTATAAGACTACAGTAGATGATACAACATACTTATCCTCCCAAAATTTGGAGAAGACTCAAATTCGGTATCATCTAGAATTCCAAAGAGTAGAGAGGTTGGTCGCTTTGAAAGGTTAATTAAAATATATATGCCGTTTTATTATGTGACAAGGTCAAAATTACCTGACATCCATATTTGGCAAATTACGTGACGATCTAGTCTCCTCTCGCAGCCGTTAGGACGTTCGTTCCCAGGTCACTTCCCCCTAACGGCTGCTTCAACTGGACCAACATTCCGTTCCCTTTGTATTCTACAGCCAATGGACATTTAGCCATTGTCTGCGATCAGCCAATCAGAATGTGTGAAGTGAATGTGGGAGAGTGACCTGGGAACGAACGTCCCAACGGCTGCGAGAGGAGACTAGTGGCGATCACGTTTGGTAGCGGGGAGAATCTACGTAGCAGTCAGTTGATGTAATATATTCATAAAGATAATATAAAAATTAGGTAACACCTAATAGCGGAGCTCCAATAGCAATATAGAAGCTGAAAATGATTATCTAGTACTGCCATTTCAAAGGTAGATGCTTTGTTCTAAGGAATGTGAGCTACAACAGTTTTGTTGACATGCGAACAAATATTATAAAGAGTATGTTTGTGAGAATTTAGTTCGTACTAATATTGACTTCGGTAGACTTTGTTCCGTTGGATGAAGTTTAAAATTATAATCTATTAAGGTCAATTAATTAAAAGTAAAGCTTCTCGGCAAAAAGTAGTCTACATAAGCTTACAATAATCAACAATGTTTCAATAATCGATATATTGAACCCGGACTACTCGAACTTCACATAATCACAGAAAACTGTATACAAAAATATATTTTTTACCTTCATTATCGAACTTCCGATAAATTATCGTTCAAAGGTCATCTTCAACAGAGCCATACTTGTTTCAAGCATAGGTTTCATCAATTTATTAAGTCATTCAAGACTGTAGATTCTTTGTTTTTATTAATCTCTCTCAATCTAACTGCTAGATGGTCTTGGTTTCGAAATCTCCACACTTTTAGTCGACAAAGCAACTTCGCATAGATCCCTGCTTTTTCCCATATTGGTCCATATTATTGAAGTATTTCCAATAAAGTATCATCTCTTTTTGTTGTCGAAATATCAAAGTAAAATCCTTTTTTCTAATATCACTTTTAAGATGGGCCTAAATTGCTTTTCATCTTCGCAAATCCATTTCCCGGATGTGCGGACGCGTCGAAGTTATGACAAAATTGGAGGGAATATTTCTGTGTTGTTATTTCGCTCTTCAGTGGATTTTTTCCTTGTTATTAATTGTTCTAATATTATTAATATGTAATATAAATGTTTAAGGAAAAAATTTCGATYTTTCAACAAATACTTGGCGCTTTCTTTCCTTTTCGAGCGGAGTATGGGTTTCCTGTGGTGGTACACGGAATCCAGGACGGAAGGACGGACGGAAACGTGCGTACGCGCGGGAACCCTGTGTCGGTCCATGGAAAATCGACTCGATGGTATACCATTTTTTCTTAGCTATGGTGCTCCGCCCGCGCGGGAGCTCCGCTATAATACAGAACACATAATACAATAGAACGAGAAAAAATGGAATACAATACATTTTATGAATACATTACATCAACTGCGTGCTACGCAGGTCACCCCGTTTGTAGCGCTCGTTTTACGCAAGTAAATCAGTTCTGCTCCAGATTCGGTCGTGTTTGGCTGTGTGTTATAATAATAACAACAATAAGAACAATAAGAACAATAACATTAATGATAATAATAATAACATTAACAACAATACGAACAATAACAACAATAATATTAATGATAATAATAATAACATTAACAACAATACGAACAATAACAACAATAATATTAATGATAATAATAATAACATTAAATAACATTAAAAAATATTTATGATAAATTGGCCATTGCAAAATTACAATGAGGAGAGCGAAAACCCCAATCGCAAATATCGTTTGCATTTCCCTTGCTGGTGGTGGCTGACGTACTTTGTTTTACTTGTTTTTAATTTGTTGGACGATTTTGTAGACTTCTTTTCCACTGGGACGTTTGTGTGGATCGCAACTGAGCACAGCTGGAATCAGCTCTTTTCTTGACTCCTGACGGATGTTGCTCAAAGGAAGGTTTATGTTTGGATTCAACTGGAGTTCTTGACCAAAGCCGTATTTTGCACCTGCAACAGTAACCGTTCCCATGAAATATTTCTTTCCTTCGAAGATACAAATACAAATACAAACTTTTTATTGATGATACTCCTTAAAAAGGCTTTTCAGTA